CCAGCCCTTCCAAGGCCAGCCTGGACCTAGCAAGGGATGAAGCTTTGGCCGGCTTCATCGCGGAATGACCCCCAGGGAAAGGAAGAGCTTCGAATCATGGAGTACCTCGTGATGGAATGCGGGGATGCTCCCTTGAACTACTACTGTTCATTTTGGGGTATTAGTATCACTACCCCTACCAAGTTGATCCGCAACTTCAGCAAGAAGGCCGCGGAGGAGTGGAAGGAAGAAGGGATACCGAGCAGATCACTTGGGTAACAGCTCGAACAGCTGGATGCCCTAACCCAGCCCTCAACACTTGGAAGTACCGATCCACCACTGGAAGACCTCGCAAGATGGATAACGAAATGGGAGACTGGAAGGAGAACTTTTGGACCTCGACCAAATCGAGGAACACTACGAGGTACAAGTGGATTGGGGAGGTTGACTTGGCCCGGCGAAGCCAAAAAGCAGCCGCTAGCTGAGGTATGAGCTCTTTGAAGTTGCCGGATAGCAAGGCCAGAGCTGAGAAAGAGTCTAGAGGAAACATCTGAAGGATGGCTAAAACACACCCCCATCCAAGGGATCCACCAAGAAGACTGAATCGGGTGGAGCTGAGACTGAATCCAACCTTGGAACTGAGGACTCTAAGGGGTCTAAGCCCAAGGTGAGTCAAGTTCAAGCTTCGACAAAAAAGGGGGTTGCTGGAGTGGTGGTGACAGTGACCCGAAGACTCAAGCAGGATGATGACCCTGAAGATTCTGAACCTGAAGAAGAATGAAGCCCCCAAGCCCAAGACCCAAGACCAAGAAGGCTGGCCCCCCTCCATCACTGAGGATGGGACACTAGACTCACATCTAGCACTCCTTCTCCAGCTCTGCACTCCACACCAAACCAATGTGTGAAGGCCGAGCATGTCTGACTTCAAGGCTTTTGTTGGAAACAAAACCACTGGAAGTCTTCCACCTTTCTGCCCTAAGTATCTGCTCCCTGATGGAAAGGGGCATCTCCTTACAATCAATGATGACAAGGATATAAAGGAGCACCTGAAGAGAAGGAATGAAGGATCCTGCCTATAGATGCTGAAGTTCAGGAGTTCTTCTCAATCCTAGTCCTGAAGACAGGGTGGGACTGCCTTCTCCAAGGTCCATGCCTACATTGAATACCCTGGATGGCTGCCTAGCCTGCAAGAAATTGGTGGAGGTCTGGCTGTCTTCATCTTCAGATGCCATCTTGTCAGTCACTCAGAACTACACGACTTTTAATCTGGCAAAGTTCTCTTGTTCAATCCTTCCCTCAGTAAGGAAAGGCTCTTAGTCAGTCTGCCTGTGATCTACTCAGGACGGTCTTGAAGGGTAAGTTCAGTGCACACAACAGGTGCAATAAAGTGCTACAGATGCAATACTCACTCCTGGTCAACAGGAACACTTTATACTTATGTTAAACTAGTAATTGTGAGCACACAGGGCTCTTAAAGTCAAATACAGTGGCACATTTCGAAGGGCCGCGAAATGGGACTTCCTACAGGCCGTAAACGGGACTTCCAGCCACTCTGTGCATATAAACCTTCATCCAGGACTTCACCTGACCACCAAACATTGATACATAGGGACATTCATAGTCCAGGACTTCATAATGTCATCAAACATATAGTAATCATGCTTGTCCCAAGACCTCATAGTATCTTCCATCATCTAGGAGTCCTGCCCAAAGATACTTATGAGTCATGCCCAAAGATACTTATGAGTCATACCCAAAGATACTTATGAGTCATGCCCAAAGATACTTATGAGTCATGCCTAAAGACTTATAGCACAGGCCAACCATACAATATCCCAGAGTGAAACACTTCCAGGCAGCACACTTGTTCCAGGGACAGACAAGCTGAGAAACCAGCACTACTGTGTAAACACACCAGAGACAGACACAGTGGGAAGCCAGAAGTAATGTTTTCACATCATGTGGCTCCAATCCAACTCCTGTCAATCCCATGGAATGTCCATGCTCCCGTTGAAAGAGAAATGGTTGAGGCTTTTCGACTACCGGTAGAAAGAGTCGTGTTTCTGTTGAGCCGTTGATTGTGTCGAGTACAATCGTGATGTCCCACTTCCACGCTGCGGTCAAACCAATATGAAACGTCTCTTGTTGAGATTGTTTCCTTACGCCACTGCGTCCTCGCTGGTCTATCTGCTCATAAATTTGACATTGGACCTGCTTGGACCAAAATACGGAAGAAGAAGAACCAAATGCAGAACGGACAACTCTACACGATTGCTGACAACAACAATGTCGTTGCGGAGGGTTTCTTCGATGTTGACAATGTCCAAATGACCTGGAATGATGGAGTCCAGGATGAGGACCTTGACCTTCCTGAGGTCCAGCGTGTCCATCGTCATATTGGTATGGTTGCGGTAAGTATGAAACGCTTCATGGATGTTACCGCGACGGGTTATGAAAAACTTGATGAATTCGAAGATGAACAGTTCAACAATATGATTCCCTGCGCTGACTGCAAAGCCATGGTGTTGGATCCCGTAGTCGACTGGATCAGCAAAGTCGACAACCATGTCAAAGCGAACTTTTCCAACGAGTACGGCATCAACATTACTTTCTTCCCACATGAAAGAGGCCTTGATGATCGTGGCGAGATTGTTGGTGGTGGGAACCAGAGCCTTCGTGACATCCTCTAGGCGAAGAGGCTTTCCGCCGTGTGATGAATGTTGTAGAAGTCTTCCATATGATGCGCCAGGTTGCTCGTGATATCAATCATATCTTCAACCTCTATGAAACGAGACGTGGGGGGGTTGCTTTCATCAATTCAGATACTGTCTTGGAGGAAATGGATTAACATATGCGTGACATGAATGAGTGGCCACGAATTTTTTCTGAGGAAGTCGCTGGTGTCTAATAAAGTATAGTAAACCACGCACATAGGCTCACTGCCTAATGCTTCTTGGCCCCACCTAGAGAAAGTGCCCGGTCCCAGTATATCCCCTTGTACTTGCTCCCCTCTACAACATTGCTGCACACTTGATCTAGGGACTCCCTTGTAATGTCAAGCGCGAAGGGTAGATTGGAATCGAATATGTAGACGCCTACGAAGCTGACACCATGGTTCACTCCTACTGTGCTCATCTTGCCGTTCTTCCCAATGTGGTGGGCTTTGATGACAGCAACAACTGGCAGCTCCAGTGGATTATCCCGTCTTAGTGGGTTGAACCTCTCTCTGTGTTTGTGTCTCATCCGCACTCTGCCGTAGCTCTCTTCTTTGGCTTTGAAAGTCTTCATCACGGCAAAGGGCGCTCGTGAAGGAGCTTACGAGACACATCCCATCGATGTTGGTTTGGTTCTGGTAGCGAACAGGAGGACTTGAATTTGTCTGGGGACGCCAATAAATAATGCGACCCCTCGATCCCACAGGCAAGTGGCATCGTACTCCTGTTTTTCTTGGCATTATCAAGTGTACCTCGGTATTGTTGTTTCACCCAGTTCATGAAGCACGACGGTTGTACCAGTGCCCGCTAGTCCATTACTGGTGATTTTGTCCGCTCTATGAACTCATCGAGTCGCAATTGTGTTGTATTGAGTTTTTATTCAGATCACTACTTCATGCACTGAGCAAACCCTCACCCACCGAGCCGGTACCCCTTTCGTCCAAATAGCCCCAGTGATGGGCTGAGAAACTTCAGCTCTCACGTCCCTTGTTACCTGTAGATCTGTTTCTAGTTTTGTCGAGTTGGCACACCAATATCCTTCCGTGCCAACCGTCACCCTCGACTCTGCGTCCCGAATACTCGTGTAGCAAGGCTCTAGGATGCTGGTAACGCTTGCTTGCTCCACACAGTACCAGAGTCCCCTACAATGTTATTGATACACC